CTTCCCCTTGAGAGATTACCCCAAAAGACAGACAGGCTATTTCCCTGGTAGAACAGGCCATTTTGACCAAACCATTTCTTTTATAGATTATGATAGACCCTTGCAATTTCTTATATGCAATACAAAACATTCCCCAACTGCAGTTTTCTGGCAAACTGCACCTCTAATGTGGATACACTTGCCTATTTCTCCAAAAAGGACTATTGAGCCATATTATCAGACTGTCTCTGACCTTATTATTTTGGACAAAAAACGTGAAAGATGCTATTTTAGAAAGGAGCCAGATGTTATTATTCAGCCATATACCAAAGAAAAAATAGATTGGCTGCTTCAGACCACCAAAACCTGGCCTATTGCCTTGGCTTCTTTTACAGGACTTATTGATAATCATTACCCCCCGCCCCCAATAAGCTCATTGACTTCACCAATTGTCATGCACTTGTTTTCCCAAAAGTCACCATTTTCAAACCAATTCCTAAAGCCCTATTGGTATTAACTGATGGTTCATCTTCAGGTACAGCAGCTTATACATGTCAAGATAGTGTTGTCACCTTTCAAACAAATTCTTCTTCAGCACAATTGGCAGAACTACAAGCTGTCATGGCTGTTTTTAATGCCTTTCCAACTCAGCCCCTCAATATATACACTAACAGTGCTTATCTCACACAATCCATACCTCTCTTAGAAACAGTTGGTGCTATCTGTAGGACTTCTCCAGCTGCTAATCTGTTTAGACAACAAACGCTAATCCATCTTCAGAAACATCCATTCTTCATGGGACATTTAAGAGCTCATACTAACCTGCCTGGACCCTTAACAAAAAAAAAAAAACTGATTTGGCCACTTGAGCTCAGGTTTTCACCACCATCCTAAATGACGTCCTTGCTGATTGCTCTGGCGACAACGTGTTTGCTGCTCAACATAGTCATAAGTTACATCACCTAAATACACAAACCCTTCAGCTTATACACAAAATAACTCGTGATCAGCCCAGACAGATTGTTAAAAATTGTCCCTCTTGTGCTGTAAATCTCCCTGTACTTCATCTAGGTATAAACCCTACGGGGTTGGTACCTAATGCATTGTGGCAGATGGATGTTACTCACATAACAGAATTTGGTAAATTAAAATATGTCCATGTAATTGTTGATACTTATAGTGGATTTATTTATGCCTCCCTCCAAACAGGTGAAGCTACAAAGCATGTTATTGCTCACATGCTGACTGCCTTCTCAGTTTTGGGGTGCCCCAGCAACTAAAAACTGATAACAGTCCAGGTTACACCAGTGTTACTTTTGCTCGATTTTGTAAGACACTCAATATTCTTCACACTACAGGTATATCATATAATCCCCAAGGACAAGGTATTGTTAAAAGAGCACACCTCTCATTAAAGCTCACCATTAACAAAATAAAAAGGGGAGATTGCTATCCTACTCAAGGGTCCCCCAGAAATATAGTATCCCATGCACTCTTCACTCTCAAATTTTTTGATCCTGTATGCTAATGGTCGTTCTGCAGCATCTTGCTTTTGGCATACTCAAACACAGACTCAATTCGCCTCGGTCATGTGGCAAGACCCCCTGACTGGCACTTGGAACGGTCCCGATCCAGTTCTTATATGGGGACGAGGATCAGTGTGCATTTATTCTCAACATGCAAAATCTACAAGATGGCTGCCAGAACGTTTGGTTAAACAAATTGACCGGACCCAATGCACAACAGATAACCTCACAGATAATTCCAGGGATGAAGGTGTGCCCTGAAAAAATTTTCTTATTTTTACTTACAGAATATGAAGGTCCAGATCCTGTTATTGGGAATACTACAAACCTGGCCATGGGTCCTCAAAGGTGGCTTGTAGAGGTAAACCCTCAAGAACTATTAAAAATATTATACGGCCCTCCATGTGAATGCAGAGGAGGTACTCTTAAGGTTAAACCCACCACCTTTACTCAAAACACTGATTGTGACAATAAAATAGCCTTTCTTACCTTTTCACCCCGATTGGGAAGAGGCCATTCCCAGAGTTGGGAATGCTATAATAAACTTCACATAATACTAAATATTAATGGCAAACCAGGGCCTTGCCCTAAGAAGTACAGCTCCTTCGAAGCTGAGATACATATCACATGTTATGACTCCCTAAAAAAATGCACAGCCATCAATGAACAGACTTATTTTATGGCCATCCTTCAGAGAACTTACCATGGTACCATAAGAGGTGACTGGATCAACACCCCCACGGTGCTTGGTAAACCCAAGTATGCCCAGGCTTCATGCTCCAGCACCCCTGGAGAGCCGATCTGCTGGAACAAGTTTCCCCCAGTACATGTTTGAGATGGCGGTGGACCTCAAAATACTGCTAGAGAGTTACAAGTCCAAAAACACCTGGAACAAATTATGAAACAAATGTTCCCTAAGATAAATTATTATCCCCTAGCACTCCCCAAGTCACAAGGAGTAGATTTAGATACTCAACACTTAGATGTTCTAGAAGCCACACAAAAAACCCTTAATGCTTCCAACCCAGGCTTAGCCCAAAATTGTTGGCTATGCATGACCCAAGACACTCCTATGCCCCTTGCTCTCCCTTCTAATCTCACCTCACAAGACATCATAAACCCCCAAAACACAAACTATAGTGTTAGCCTCCATTTTAAAGTCCAACCTGTAACCTTCAAAAAGTCTTTTTGTATTCAAGGAAGCTTTCACGGTGATATCTTCACTGTTGATGTTGGGTTTGTTACCTTCACTAGTTGTAGTCAAATACTTAACTACAGTAGCCCTATTTGCCCCAAAGAAGGACATGTGTTTGTATATGGAGGAAGCTTGGCTTTTACATACCTACCTACCAACTGGACAGGATGATATGTCATGGCAATCATACTGCCTGATATAGGCGTCATCTCTGGCAATGATCCTGTACCCCTTCCCAGTCTAGATTATATTGTGGTACACACAAAAAGGACAGTCCAATTCATCCCCTTACTAGTGGGGCTGGAAATCACAGTGGCCATGGGGACAGGTTCTGTGGGGTAGGGGGTAGCAGTACATTCTTATACTAAATTATCTAACCAGCTGATTGATGATGTTCGAACATTATCTAGTACTATCCAAGATATCCAAAACCAGATAGATTCACTAACAAAAGTGGTCTTGCAAAATAGGAGAGGCTTGGACCTTCTGACAGCAGAGCATGGGGGAATATGTCTTGCTTTACAAAAAAAAAGGTGTTGTTTTTATGTTAATAAATCAGACATAGTTCAAGACAAAATCCGAGAGCTACAAGATCAACTACTCAAGCAGAGACAAGAACTTGCAGACGAACCCTTCTCCTCATTGTGGGAGGGATGTTCACCTATCTTGTGCCCCTGTTGGGACTCCTCTTCTCACTCCTACTGTTGCTCATGATAGGACCTTGTATTTTTCTAAAGCTTACAGCATTCATCAGCTCACGTTTAGATGCCTTTGCTGCAAAGCCCATTCAGATACATTATCATCAGCTGAAAATGACAGATCAACAAGAGTATCGTGAGAAGGTTCCCTCAAATGGACCTTGTAATAATGTGGCCTAATCTGATATAGGTCCCCCTGGTGAGACAAACAAGTAGTCAATAACAGGCAACTAGGACCCACATACAGTACCGCTGACCACCTAAAACAGGAACAGGGTCTACTACCACCCTGCGATCCCAAAACGGATAAGGTCTGGTCCATCTCATGTAAAGAAGTCCTTGACCCAAGCCAGACATTGTCCCCACAGGGCACTGTCAATTTCCGCTTGATGTATTTAATAAAAGGAGGGATATATGGGGAGTGATAGAACACTCGCGTTATATTTTCCCTTATTTGGGCAAGAAGTGCTGCAGCACCAATCCCCACTTGCCTCAACATCTTCCTGTGGTCCTGGACCTCCACTACCAATCCACAAAAAGTCCCACCCAACTGCTTCCACTATACAGCTATTTAGACCCTGCTCACTTCCTCAATAAAAGAGACTTGATCAGAAAGCATGTCTTGTCTTGCCCTGGCCATGGGGGCAGGGCAGAAGGCACAGAGCCACCCTGGGGAGGAACCTTTAATTCAGAGCTCTGAGTAGCTCAACGGTCCTCAGTCCCCTAGTCAGCATCTCCCCATTATAGGAGTGTTAGCGTCTCTCATGCCAAGCCACAGTGTGGGAAGGGAGCACAGTGAGAGCCTAGGTGTGTCCAGGCTGGTTCCCCCCTCTGGGACCCAGCCCTCTGCCTCCCTAGTCTGTGGACTTTGAGCCCCTGGGGTCTGCACCTGGGCATTCTGTAGATTCAGCTGGGCTGAAGAGACTCGAGAGTGGCTCTTAGTGCACTAGGTGCCAGGCAACCTCTAGACCCCAATTCTTATAAAGAAAAAAATCCCATTTTCAAATTTCTATTTTGCTTTTCTGGTTTCAGCATCCTTATAAAAATCCCAGCATTTCACCCAAACACTGCAGTCCTGAGTGGGACTCCCCTGGTGCTGTCTTCTAGAACCTCAATAAACTTTATCTTATCTGTGTTACTTACTGTTGGCTAATTCTCTTACTGCCCATGTACAGGTCTGATGCCCACAGTGCATGTTTTGTGACACTGTTTTTATTAAGATTTTGAAGAGAGTGATTTAAATCCTCTTAGGAGGAAATGAGTGAACAGACATGAGCACAGCAGCAGTGGATCCCAGTTGCACAATTCTCTGCCTTTTGCAACTATTGCATCAGTTGGTGCTTACAGGAGAAACACATTTATTTTTTTTATTTTTTTTAAGGAAGAATGAATGTTTATTGTTTCTTCAGTATTGCATATCCATATCTGATAGTATGAGCAGCGAATCTGATAATATGTAATATAACAACCATTGTTAGTATTCCATTCTTCTGTAATTCTGTGCCATCTCTACTGTCATCTGTTGCTTTGGAGAAACACATTTAATACAAGATATACAAAAATAGAATGATTTACAACATCAGCTTACTATGGCTGCAGCCTCTGGCATGGGGAATGCAAAGGGCTGGCCCTGAGATATGAAGGACCCCATCCCGAATCCACGGTTGTCTCCTTGTCTATCTGAATCAGGAGACTAAAGACCACACTGGACACTGTTTCCAGAGAGGTGCTGAGGACCAGTGGCTAGCAGCAGCTCACAGTCACACATTGCAAGAGTGACCCACAACTGAAGAAATGCCAAGTGTTGGAGCCCAAAGAGGCTTGAAATCCCCTTGTGGCCAATGTTTTAAGCAGTTGTTTGTACCTGAATTACAGAATGCATTTTTGTGGTAGTGCTGTTACCTTACAACATCCCTTCTTCTTTGCAAATAATCAGATAACTCCACAATCTTTCGATGCTTCCCCTCATTGACGTGGTAATTAAGCTAATACAGTGATGCAATGAGCCCACATTCAGCAGTACTGAAGATAACACCATACAGAGAATCCAGGGCACATCTTGACATGATTGTATTAATTCCCATTTTACAGAGATGGGTCCTTAGCGCATGAGCATTCCCATAAATTCAGTTACTCGGATTTACTCCAGAGCACATGAGGACAGTAAAATAGTTACAAAAGGCTCACTCAAGTAGCACTAAGAAACATGCAGTCACAAGTGTCCTTAGAACACAATTTAAAGGAAGCCCAGGCAGGACTGATCCTAGTCAGTCCACAGGAAACCATGACGGTCTCAGGCACCTAGGCACGCATCTCCAGCTCTGGTCCTGTGAACACTGCATGAACAGGGAACAGTGGTGTCAGAAACAGCTTTCCAAACTGTCTTAAAGTGAGAAGCTACTGCTTCAGAAGCACAGGCCGAATACTCTGGATGCCCCTCAGCTTCACCTGATTGTCCCTGTGAGCTCACAGAGGCACACTGTGTGCATATTCTTAACTATTTTAAGACTAATCAGGATCCTCAATATCAATGGGAAAGTCTCCTTTTGGAAAGGCTGCAACCAAAGGCCAAACCTCTTTCAATGAATGCACAAGGTGACTGTGCATTGGGGAGTGCAGTATGGGGAGGGAAGGCCTAAGTATGCAAGGTGTCACAGTCACAAATGTGACTGTGTTTTGCCAGTCTTGACTGGAGCTATAAACACTGTTGACACAGCTTTTCCCAGCCAATTGAAGACTACACGCATGACATCTTTATCATCCATAAAACGTATGAAATGCTTGCTAAACAACACAGAAAAATTAGCTTAAGAGTGGAAGGACTTAACTAGTTCAACAGTAGGGCCAGCCAAATAGCTCAATGGATTACAGTGCTTGAAAGCAGGCACAGGGGCCAGGGTTTCCTTCTCTGGGATGGCCATGCCAGCCTGGCCTCCTGGGCATGATGAGATGGCAATTGAGACTGGGCATGGTGGCACACTCCTGTAATCCCAGCTCTTGTGAGGCTGTAAACAGGTAGATCTCTACAAGTCCAATCAAATAGTGAGACCCTGAACACTGTATAGACCTTTCCCTAAAATTCAAAATAAATAAATAATTCCCAGTAAAAATTGGCAAGGGAGAGTGCTGGGAGCTCTGTATTCTGTAGGCCAACATTAGTGCTCCTCTTTTTTATTCCATTGTTTTATTTTTAATTTTTTATTTTTTCCATAATTTTATTGAGAAACAAATAGCAACGAGACAGTTTTAAACCAAATTGGTAGGACAATTTCAATAATGAACACATTGCATACATTCTTCCTAGTGGTTAATTGCTGTACAAGATGCGAACTTGATGTGCTATTTACAAACACCATTAGAACAAATCCCTCTATTCAGTAAGAGAATGTAACTATATATCTATCCTAACCACTTTGAATACACAGATACAAAATGGATATTCATCTGTATCCCCTTTTTTTG